TCAATGGTAAAAGACTGGAAGGAAACAACATAAGATCAGGGGGAGGGCAGAGAGTCTTTTTAATTCTTTGGAAAAGGAAAGGGGATCAAAGAAAGAATGCAGGCACAGATTAACTAAAGAACAGAACTCGAAGACTTGAAGGAGGATTGTCCAGACTAAGTGGCTGTAATTAATTTTTAAAAATTATTGCAATTCTTAATTTTCCCTCTTCCCAAGTAATTACAGTACTTCTAAACTTTCCTGACTATCTGGTATTGCTTTTCACATAGTTAACATTTTTATCATATGTTAAAAAGAGAGAGAAAAAGACAGGGATATGTAAACAAAACAAAAACAACAGAAAACTAGGAAAAGCAAATATTAAAAAAATGTGTGCAACAGTTTGCGTAAAGAAAGATGGGGACTGGGTAGTGCATTGCTGTGGTAAAACAATATTTGTAAAGGAAATGTAGCTGTGCCAAACAGATTTTTCAATTCTCATGATTCATATGGCTGTATAGTTCAGCGGTTTAGGTATCAGGCTGCAGAACCAATGGTTGGGAGTTCAGTTCCCCAGTGTGTCTCCTATGAGTAGAGCCAGCCTGTGTAGCTTTGGGCAAGCTGCACAATCTCAGAACTGTCCCCAGAAGAAGGGACTGATAAACAGCTTCTGAATACTAGAAGACCCTGAAAAGGGTTGCAGTAAGTCAGAATGGACTTGACGGCATAATAATTATTTATGATTCATGCATTCATTTACAAAGCTTGCAGACATTTTCTTGGCTATAGCTCCTAAAATCCCCCTGGCTGGGGGATTCTGGGAGTTGCTGTCCAAAAAAAGTAACACTAGACTTTCCAAGATGGAAGTCATAGAGACAGAATCATGTATCATTCAGTTAGCTTGCACTACTGTTAAAATATATGGTATGCCGTAATCAAGGTGCACCTTTATCATAAAGTTATAATGAAGTTCATATGTGTGTATATTTGAAATGATCTTGTCCTTAAAAATGTAAAGCGGTCACATTCTTGATTAAATTGAAACATGTTTTAAATATGCAGAGTTCTTTGTGCCATAACACTCTCTTTTTTTTAACTGCCTGAGTATCTTGAAAGAACATTGTAGTCTTTAGCAGAAAATTATTGTTTTAAGATGGCTGGACTAGACTAAGGTCAAGAAACAAAAGCGAAGGTCATAACTATAAGGTGAATGATAGATATAAAATGCGTTGGTTGGTTCTGCATCTTGTGAAGATCATTTAGTGATTCATTGGGAAGAGTGCCATCTACTGACCTGTCAGTCTAAACTGCTGATGGCTTTTTCAGCTGGGCTCCAGTTAATTCTTATGAAATGACAATGTAAAAAAGACAGATTTTTAAATAAATTAACTAAACACACACACACATACACCCAACAACAACAACCATCTTACCATAAAACAGCACTGAACAAACAGTTAGAAACACTAACCTAAAGTTGAAGGAAATAGGCAAATAGGCAAACATATATTTATGTAGATGCTAATACAGGACTGTATGCTCTTGCGCCAGTGTACTTAGTAGCAAAATCAGTGTTGAAACAAAGAAAAATCATTCCAGTAGAACCATCATTATATTTAATTAGCTTCCGTGTTTCACTGGCAGAACTGGGCCTGCCCCCATTAACCCCAAGGACAGAGAGATATGAGATCTTTCAGTTGTCAGCATTTACATACAAGTTACAGTAACACTCATACATGTAATTGAGTAAGCAATGAGATGGTAGTGGATAAAGTACAGTTCAGTGCAACTTGTACAAACAAGCAGACCAAGCTAGATTCTTCAGCACAGGGGAAAGAGAAAAGGAGGTTGGGGGGAACCCCTGACCTGGTTTGCAAGGGAAAGGCTCTACTGTCCTGCTCATGTTATAAAGGAAGAGAACTGGTAGGTAGTTGAAGGAAGTGCTGAATCCAGAGGCTTTCCTGGAACTTTGTGCTTATTTCAAAAGAAGACTATTTGACTTGTCATTATGCAGGCAAATAGATCATGTACATTTGTCTGTCTGAATGGTTTCCTATCGACATAAATAATGAGTTAGTCAAACTAAAGCACTTTTGAGTTTCCCATTCATTTTGATGATCAAGCTTTAGTGTTGGCTAAATGTTAGTAATTTGTACCCATGTGAACTTTGTGATTATAGTATAAATGCAAGGAAGACCTAGTTTCCATTGGTAATCCGTTCAAAAGCTGCTTTTTTCAGTTCAGCTTTCATTACATCACTACCCATTTATAGTGATACCAAACTATAGCCTTGACAAATCTTTAGTGAAACAAGATTTTATATTTTTATATTCAGAGTTCTTTATTGACAAAAATGCAAACATATATAAAATTAAAATACTTCAGTTGATCATTTCATACTCTATTTAAATAGGCTCATAATTCTATGTTGTATACCATTTACATTATAATGTATTGGCTGTAATCATGTTGCATAATGTAGTTAGTTGCCATAGAGCAGGCCCACTGAATCAGTGAATAAACTCCTCTGTAAGTTTCATTGATTCAAATGGGCCTATTCTAATTGTAGCTGCTAAGCAACAGGATTTCAGCCATGATACCAAATAAATTTATCTTGAATGCAATAAAGTTAAATGATAATACAGGTATTTATGTAAATTGAGATTGAATTCATAGTGAGAAGAGATGATTTTTTTAAAAAAATCATTTCCATGTAATATTTTTTTAAAACTCATTTCTTCTGACTGTGAATTAATCTCAAGTTACATAAAGACCTGTATTATCAATTACGTAATTTTTTTGCATATGATATACATTTTATATCATGGCTGAAATCCTGTTGCTTAGTAGTTGCAATTAGAATAGGCCCATTTGAATTTTTTTAAAAAACCTTACACATAGATATATAAAGAGGATAGAAATGAGATTTAGAAAGTAAATGAGCAATAATTGTGCTCTCACTTTGCCCAGAAAAGAACTGAACATTCCACAGATAACTTTTATTAAGCTGACACAAGCATGCCCTCCCAGAAAAAAACTACCTGCACAGACCTAATATATATTCATCTTCTGTAAATACATTGGCTGGAATTCTGTTACATGAACAATGAGATTGTTTCAGAACTTGTACAGACTAATAAAGCTTTATATGATCCATATAAAGTGTTCTTCCTCTCTTTACATCTCATTGTAGATATTTACCTTTCTGTTGCTTGCATTCCAGTTGCCACTTGCCCTTGATTTAACCCTGTGACCAGCCATCCATACTAAGCAATGTCCTTAGGTTGGCATAAGGATGCCATGATCACAGTGAGCACAGAACAGCATTTCTCCAAAGAATCTCTACAGGAGACCCTCCCCCCCCACTCCTTCCTCTCTATCTTTTCCTCCCAGTGTGATGTCCTTTTTGCAGATGCAGAAAGCAGGGTTGATGATGGTACAGCTAGTGCTGCTGCTGTTGCTGCTGTGGGTTGACTGGCTTGTTAATGTGCCGGATAATACAGCAGTCAGGAATTATTCCACTTAGCCTGTACTTATCAATTTACTGATCCTCATGTACAGTATATCTTTCACACCAACATTCCTGTATTTCACGGTGTGACGCAATGTCACTGCACTGACATGATGAGATTATGTGTCCCCCAATCCGGAAAGGAGATATTCATTTTCTTCCAGCTTGGGGTGCAGCTCACTTGCAGATGGCTATGACAGCCTGCTTCCATGATGACATACAGTGGGGTCTTGACTTGAGAACTTAATCTGTATTGGAAGGCAGTTCTCAAGTCAATAAGTTCTCAGGTCAAATCTGCATTTCCCATAGGAATGCATTGAAAACCATTTGATCCGTATCTGCTCTTTTCCGTCCATAGAAATTAATGGGAAGCTGCAAAAAGTCTCAGTCAAGCCATCTGTAAGTCAAGGGTCCACTGTAGAGATATAATGGCAGGAATATCCACGATCTCCAAGAGAGGGGTTAGTTCCCTGTTGAGTCCACAAGTGGAGTATAGCTTGGAACGGTTGGCCAAGAGGGCCATGAATAAAGCTGGGATCGGAGCACATCAGCAGATTAGGTCCAGGGTGTAATCTTTGTATTAGACTGGTATCTGAAGTAAATACCCAGGGGGATTGAATAGGAGCTGGAAAAGGCTCTGATGGACATTCAGGAAGGCTAGCAGTTCAATGTGCAATAGAGCAGCAAAGGAGAGTGGGAATAGGAATGATAGCATAGAAAGGAAAAGAAAATCATGTTTGAATGAAGGGAGATACGGACTGCAGACGTGCCAGTTGTGATCCCAAAACAAAAACATGCTCACCACTGTCGTGAAATGTGTTGGGTTGGAAATGCAAATGAGGAGAGAGACAAACAAATCAGAGCAGCACATTCCACACTAGTTTTCCGTAACCACTTCTTTCCCACTTCCCCCCCCCTTTCTTTCATGAAAAACCTTCACTCGATTTCAGATCACAACAAGATATTGTTTCAAGATACAATAAAAGATGTGTGCGGTGTAAATGAAGACATGTCAGGTGGTGTGTCCTGTGCCAGTGTGCTAGTTGGAGGAGTAGCGTAAGCAGCATCTGTCTGTCCTTCCAGAGCCTCTGCTTTCAGTTTCCCTCTGAAGTGAGATTTGTTTTTTCTAGCACTATGAAGGAAAAGAATCATACCTAAGCTTTCTCTTAAAATGTTCGTTCACTCAGTGGATCTGCCTCAATATATCCCAGGTGTTCATTCAAAGCTGCCTAGAGTGGTCCGGTGGGCCAGATAGGCGGGGTATAAATCAAATTTAAAAAAAAAGATTTGTAGTGATTTTCCTTGATGGTTGTTGTAGGGGTTTTTTGTTTGTTTGGCCGTGTTCCAGAGGTTTTTCTTTCTAACGTTTTGCCAGTCTCTGTGCCCAGCATCTTCAGAGGGCAGGAGTCAGAACTCTGTCTTCAAGAATACGACTTTCCTTGACTTTATTCTGTTCAGATTTTAACTTTAGACATAACTCTCCCAACCCTGCCTTCTGTTTCCCGTATAGGTTCGTAGAGGTGCTGTGAATTATGGCTCCCTTCTTACGGATATCGTTTAACTCTTTTGAGCTTGGACCAGTAAAAAATCAAGGAGAACAACTACAGCCATTCTGTTCAATAAAAATGAAAGAGGCTTTAACCACAGGTAGGTAAACATACCAATTTATGAAATGAAAGTTTTAACAGACATGCTGGCAAGACTGCAGCCCAATTCTGTGCTTGTTTCCTTAGAAGTAAGTTTTTAATGGCTGCTATTCTCAAGGAAATGTGCAGGGAACTGCCCATCCAAGGATTTCCAAGCACTTTCATTGTAGCGTATATACTATGGATCACTGGATCTGAAAGTACTTTTTAAAAAAAAAAAACTTGGACCAGGAGGAAAGATAGAAGTAATTTGTTTGTATTTGAGCCATGTTTTAAATGGATGTGCTGTTTTGCACATATGTAATGGCCAGAATCCTGCTGCCACTTTACATTTCATGGGGGAAATTATGTAAATCTTGGCAGCACATTTCTACTCATTAACAAGTTGCTGGCTGCATTCCCAGATTTATTTCTTCAATTCCTCCAAGCCCATTTTCAGGGAGATTTTTTTTTTAAGGAGAAGCTGTTTCCTTCAATGTTGATAGCGTACCTTGTCTTCTTCAGTTGCAGAATCAGTCATGCAGACAGTTGTGCCCTGGGCCTGCCATGAGTACCTCAAGACACACATACATATGGGGAACATCAGTGGGATTTTGTGGTTAAGAGTTTAACATCTTAATGAGACCTTAGTGACTTCAGAATATTGACATACAAAATAAAGAATTAACAACTGGGTGCAAGGGGAAATGGAATCGCTAGAAAAGGAAGGGGTGGCAAAAATAGGCTCATTGACTGGATGGGCCAGAAATGCATATAGGTATCAGTGGGAAAATACAAAATTTTAGGGTTTTTTCCCACCAAATACAAGGTAGGGATGTGGCCCAAAACACAAAAATCAGAGGTGCGTAATTACTTATTTAGAGCTACGAAAATAGTGTGGAAGAGTTCTCCAGAATTCTTGGTCAGAAGGATGGTATAAAAATTAGTGGATAGGCAAGACACAAAAATCTCATGTGATCTACCTAAGTAGCTTTAATATGCTAAAAGATCAATTTTCTGTTACCTGGAATGCACAATTAATGGGTTCTCCAAATGGGCTAGCTGGGATTTAAAGAATAGCTCATTGCTCACAGACTCTCAACTGGGTGTAGAAAAAAGACACAATTACTAAGGCATTCTACATTAGCAAAACTGGAGATTAAATTTATTCTAGGTACATAAATTCAAAAATTCAAGTTAAGTTTTTTTAGACAATTGAAGCCTTCATTGTGGTGCCTCACGCACAGAATCCTAACATGGGCCAAGATGTGCTGAGCCCAGAACATTGCATTCCTGTTGGGATGTGGAATTGGGTAAATCTACAAGTGAGAAGATAGCATTGCACACATGTCCTGGTTTAGTGCTTCTTATGGGCAACTCTTCGTTGGTGTGTGATTAGAATTCTAAACTATATGGCCCTTTCATCTAACCCAACATGGCTTGTGTTCTTGGGGTGGTAAACGGAATCTAGAATGGAGTTGTTAGAACACTGAATAGGAGCACTTCACTTAGCAGCTACTTTTTGCTTCGCTTCACTTATATTTGCAAGTAAGGAACCATGTACTAGTATAAATTATTGTGCTACACTTATATTTATATGTCTCTCATACCAAAAGAGTAGTGATCAAAGCTAAAGGTGGAGAAAAATACCCATTTTGCACCTAAGTATCTGGCTACTTTGCTAGATTTGTTGGTTTTAGAATAGTGATAGGAAACCTGGACCACCCAATGTTTTGGACTACAGATCCTACAGTTCTTGACCTGTGATCGTGCTGACTGGGCTTTCTGGGAGTTGGAAGTCCATAATACTGGAAGTCAGAGATCCCCCTTCTCTGTTTTAAAACATAATCAAACAAAATTCATAGGCATCCAGCCACCTGAAACAATAGATAGTTTTTTTAAAAAAAAAATTGGAAAACAATGTAACAGAAACTTGCTGTAACAAGTAATTTTGTGACATCTTAAAGTATTATTTGGCTTGAGCTTTCCTAGATTGAAATCAACATCATCCCATGCATTGGATGAAGTGGGCTGCACTTCATGAAAGCTTATGCCAGCTGGGAAAAGGCTGGTAAATCAGATACCTTTATGCAGAAATTCATATGCTGCCAGTACATCTTATGAGTCCATAGTTGTATTAGAACATGCGATTAATAACTCCCACAATATGACTATGGAGAAATAAAGAGGTTAGGAAGGAGCTTTTCATTAATGGAAATATCTGTTCTGAACAGCTGTTGCCAGAAAGGGTCTCTGAATGCAGGTAAAAGCTTTTTGATGCAAGTAGAGGAGATAAAGTAGAACTCTGCAGAATATCCTTAGGCAGCAGCTGCTTGTGAACATTTGAGGGAACTCATTTGGGAAACCAACATCATCAGCATGCTTGTCACATATCTCATTTATAATGCTGTCTATGGCAAGCCTTACCTTATGAGATAAATTGACATACTGTTATTTACTGCTGTTTGGACATCACACTGAGAACCATACATTCAAACAAACAAAAAAGTCTACTGCATCACCATAATCTTAACTCTGAAATAAAATCCTGTGTCAGATACATTGTGGAGCATTAAATGACTGATCATTCTCTCCATGAAACATACAGGCCCCTTTATTTTTTAAAAAGAGAGAACCAGCAATCTTAACAAATAACTGTAGTTTGCCTTCTTAGAAACATGTTGACCTTTAGTACAATGGGCTATATATCATAAATGCCTTCAGACTTACTTGGGCTGTATCATTTTCTCTACATTGTTGAGAAATTATTTCCAGGCTTGGAGTTAATAAAATGAGGGTGATCCAGTGCTCCCATACTTTAGTTTTTCCTGAAAGTTGGTGTTTGCATGGTAGTATTTCATGCATATCTTCTTCTTTCATCTCCAGAGAGAGGTAAAACTCTGATTCAAAAGAAACCCACTATGTACCCAGACTGGAAAACTTCCTTCGATGCCCATATCTATGAGGGACGTGTCATTCAGATAGTCCTCATGAAGGCTGCAGAAGAGCCAATGTCTGAGGTGACTGTAGGAGTATCTGTTTTGGCTGAAAGATGCAAGAAAGGCAATGGAAAAGCAGAATTCTGGGTAAGTATAATGTATAAAATTTATTATTATTTATTTGATATCTCTGCTTTTTAAGATGCTGTCAAGGTTTGTCATCACTTTCCTCCCAAGAAGCAGGCATCTTTTAATTTCATGGCTGCTGTCTCCATCTGCAGTGATCATGGAGCCCAGGAAAATAAAATCTGTCACTGCCTCCATATCTTCCCCTTCTATTTGCCAGGAGGTGATGGGACCAGTGGCCATGATCTTAGTTTTTTTGATGTTGAGTTTCAGACCATTTTTTGCACTCTCCTCTTTCACCCTCATTACAAGGTTCTTTAATTCCTCCTCACTTTCTGCCATCAGAGTGGTGTCATCTGCATATCGGAGGTTGTTAATATTTCTTCCGGCAATCTTAATTCCGGTTTGGGATTCCTCCAGTCCAGCCTTCCGCATGATGTATTCTGCATATAAGTTGAATAAGCTGGGGGACAATATACATCCTTGTCGTACTCCTTTCCCAATTTTGAACCAATCAGTTGTTCCATATCCAGTTCTAACTGTTGCTTCCTGTCCCACATATAGGTTTCTCAGTAGATAGATAAGGTGGTCAGGCACTCCCATTTCTTTAAGAACTTGCCATAGTTTGTTGTGGTCCACACAGTCAAAGGCTTTTGCATAGTCAATGAAGCAGAAGTAGATATTTTTCTGGAACTCTCTGGCTTTCTCCATAATCCAGCGCAAGTTAGCAATTTGGTCTCGAGTGCCTCTGCCTCTTCGGAATCCAGCTTGTACTTCTGGGAGTTCTCGGTCCACATACTGCTGAAGCCTACCTTGGAGGATTTTCAGCATAACCTTGCTAACGTGTAAAATGAGTGCAATTGTGCGGTAGTTGGAGCATTCTTTGGCACTGCCTTTCTTTGGGATTGGGATGTAAACTGATCTTTTCCAATCCTCTGGCCACTGTTGGGTTTTCCAAACTTGCTGGCATATTGAATGCAGCACCTTAACAGCATCATCTTTCAAGATTTTAAATAGTTCAACTGGAATGCCATCACCTCCACTGGCCTTGTTGTTAGCCAGGCTTTCTAAGGCCCACTTGACTTCGCTCTCCAGGATGTCTGGCTCAAGGTCAGCAACTACATTGTCTGCGTTGTCCGGGATATCCAAATCTTTCTGATATAATTCCTCTGTGTATTCTTGCCACCTCTTCTTCACGTCTTCTGCTTCTGTTAGGTCCCTCCCATTTTTGTCTTTTATCATGTTCATCTTTGCGCAAAATGTTCCTCTAATATGTCCAATTTTCCTGAACAGATATCTGGTCTTTCCTTTTCTGTTATCTTCCTCTATTTCTTTGCATTGTTCATTTAAGAAGGCCCTCTTGTCTCTCCTTGCTATTCTTTGGAAGTCTGAATTCAAGTTTCTGTAACTTTCCCTATCTCCCTTGCATTTTGCTTCCCTTCTCCTCTCTGCTATTTCTAAGGCCTCGTTGGACAGCCACTTTGCTTTCTTGCATTTCCTTTTCTTGGGGATGGTTTTCGTTGCTGCCTCCTGGACAATGTTACGAGCCTCTATCCAAAGTTCTTCAGGCACTCTGTCCACCAAATCTAGTTCCTTAAATCTGTTCTTTACTTCCACTGTGTATTCATAAGGGATTTGGTTTAGATTATACCTGAGTGGCCCAGTGGTTTTTCCTAATCTCTTCAGTCTAAGCTTGAATTTTGCTATGAGAAGCTGATGATCAGAACCGCAGTCAGCTCCAGGTCTTGTTTTTGCTGACTGTATAGAGCTTCTCCATCTTTGGCTGCAGAGAATATAATCAATCTGATTTCGATATTGCCTATCCCATTACAGTTTTTCCCACTCTTTTGTTGACTATGAGAGCCACTCCATTCCTTCTACGGGATTCTTGCCCACAATAGTAGATATGATAATCATCTGAGCTGAATTCACCCATTCCTGTCCATTTTAGTTCACTGACGCCCAGGATGTCAATGTTTATTCTTGCCATCTCCTGTTTGACCACATCCAGCCTACCAAGGTTCATAGATCTTACATTCCAGGTTCCTATGCAGTATTTTTCTTTGCAGCATTGGATTTTCCTTTCACTTCCAGGCGCATCCACAGCTGAGCGTCCTTTCGGCTTTGGCCCAACCACTTCATTAGCTCTGGAGCTACTCGGACTTGTCCTCCGCTCTTCCTCAGTAGCATGTTGGACGCCTTCCGACCTGAGGGTCCCATCTTCCAGTGTCATGTCTTTTAGCCTTTTGTTTCTGGTCATGGGGCATTCTTGGCAAAGATACTGCAGTGGCATTGCCAGTTCCTACTCCAGGTGGATTGCATTTAGTCGGAACTCTCCACTATGTCCTGTCCATCTTGGGTGTCCCTGCACGGCATAGCTCATAGCTTTTCTGAGTTACTCAAGCCCCTTCGCCACGACAAGGCAGCAATCCATGAAGGGGATTGCATACCTTCAGCCAAGGGGATTGCACACCTTCAGCCAAAGTTATTTAAGAGGTCGCTCGCTTAGATGTGAATGTTCCTGGCCCAAATCTTGAAATTGCCATGAGAGACTTTTCTGGGTTTGGAGAAGCCCTGAGATTGGACCTTTTCTGACGATGCCTGGTTCAGGACCTTCCCAGCTTAGAAATGTCTGCCTGTCTCCTTTGTTGCTAAGTGTTGGACATCATCCAGACCGTCTCTCCTGAAGAACTACTACCATTGTCACTTGCTCCTCCCAAGCCTGGCTTCTGAGAGCGGCCGCACTGAGAGAGGCCAGGAAAGTTTCAATTAGGACTTGGGCCTTCTCAGTCTTGGACTTGGCCCTTTGGAATTCCCTATCTCCAGACCTACACCAGGCCCCGTCCGCTCTTGCTTTTTGGAAAACTCTCAAAAGCAGGGCTGTATAAAAAGGCCTTTAAAAACATTCCGACTCTGAGATAGGAATTTATTACTTCATTACTTTTTTTTTCTTGGAGCTTAGATTCTGTTGCCATTTGACTTCATTGTAATTGGTTGGAATCTGTCACTTCTTACATTCTTTTTAATATTAATTCCTCATTTTATGTTGTGGTGCAGGATGATAGTGTTGGTTGCGAATTTAATTTTCTTTTCTTCGCTACCCAGAATAGTGAGTTTCCACTAAGTCAGGTGTTACAAAATTCAAATCAAATTAATCGATTTTGAAATGGGCTGGGATTTTTTGCCCCAGGAATAGTAATATTTGTGTTTTATTGTTCCTATTGGTGTTTTATACATTGTATTTGTTTTAATATATGATGTATATATGAGTTTGAGTTGGGTTTAAAGCTGGCTTGGAAATTTTTGGAATTGAAAGGCAAAGAGTATAAACATATTTTAGTAAATAAAAAAATAAAAGAAGTAAAAAATTTAAATAGTTACTGTGTCTTTAATTTCACTCAAAGAACACAATCTTGCCACCTATACTGCAGTTTTAATGTCTCTAGTGAGGGCAGCTGTGCCTCTAAAATGGATATGTTTCTTGAAATCTGTGTCCAGGTAGATCACAGGGTGTCAGAGCTTATTAAATCTGTAGGGAAGATAAAATCATGATTTCAGGGCTGAAACAGACAAGATAGCAGCTTCAAAGTTCTTCATGTTTCTTCACCTGCAAATCAGCAATTTTTTTTTTTGCATGTTTGGGCAATAAGAGATAAGTATGAGTATTCATAAGTTGATTGCACATACATGAAAGTTCTAAAACAATGTGTATTTGGAGGAACAATATTTTATCTCCCTCTAATGGCAAAGCTTGTGCCTTGTCTGTTTCTCCCCTTAGAAAGCCAGTCTACTCCAGAGATAGTTAGTCTCTCTTCTAGTATAAATTCTACAGTGATACCAGAACAGTTTCTGGGAGCAATTCAGAGAAGCAGGTAGCTTGCTATTTGGTTTCCTTTTGATGTGGTTCGGTTCCCCCAATTTTCCAGTGACCTCGTGTGTCTTAAGTAAGAGCAATCCATCCTGCCTCATAAGTGAGCTGGTCTGCTTCTTTCTGGCACAGTGCTAGAGTTCTCGCAATTAAAATATATATTTTTTTCCTACGTGGTGCAGCACTATTTCATATAAAAGAGAGTATTCATGCTAGGTTATGCATTGCTGTACAAGAAAAAGGTACGTTGTCATAGCCCACAGAATGATTTCTGTGACAAAAGGTGAGGGAGGCGGCATCAGTAATGAAAGAGGGGAGGAATTGGACCCATCTGAAGTGCTGCCTGGATCCTTCTCTTGGGATAAGAAATGTCTCTTGCATGAATGCAAGGACTGCTTAAGTGTAAGATGAAATGGATTGCATTGAAGATAAGGGCCTTTTGAACATGACCCTGCTCACTCAAGATTCCCCTTTCTAGTTATGCCCTATGTTCTGATAAATAGCACATTTTGTCTCTGGTACTGCTTTGACCTTTAGATGATGATATGGGAAGCAATATGAATCTGGTGTTTTTTGCAATTGCCTTGCATATATTTCTGCAATATTAATGATGTGTGTCCTGGGATATCAATGGAGAATTGTTCTTCAAGTTACTTTTCCATCCATATTTTAAGTATTTTGAGCAGTCCAGCCCTTCACTTCCTCACTGCTACTGCAGAACCAAAAATCTTTTACAAATTTGAAAATGCTGTTGAAAAAGAATATCCTTTTGTCTAATTCCTTCATCTCCTTCCAGAATGTGTAGTTCATTCTCTTTCATGTTGTGATGTATTTTCATACCCTGGTGCTTCCGAGATGTTTTCAATTACAACTTTCAATATTCCTGATTATTGACCATGTTTGGCAAAGGCTGAAGGATTCTGAAGTCCAAAACATCTGGGGAGCACCAAGTTAGGGAAGGATGCTGTGGAGTAATATGCCATTGTTTTTCTTATAAGCACTCAGAATTTTGGAATTTAAAATATGCGCAGTTGTGTAAAATGTGGCGTTGACAGAGCTAGTGGACCATTGGGTTCAACCATTCATTTTATTCAAAAGTGTGAGTTATCCCAAAAATAAATGTCTTAATTAATTTGGCATATATACTTTTGGAAAGCACTGAATAGTGTTTTCTTAATGTGAGAAGATATAGTGACAATGAGAACCAGTGGTAACTGTGTTCACATAAAAGCTAAGAACAACACTTTATATAACTTCTCTATTGTTTGCATAATTACAGCCAGCTAATGATAGATAAAATGTGGTGTCACATTGTAGGCTTTGAGCATAACGACATACTGTATATTTCATTGGTTTCTTTCTTCCTAGCTTGATTTACAACCTCAAGGGAAAGTACTGATGGCTGTACAATACTTTCTTGAAGATGGAGGTAAGAATGTTTTTTTTGTCTAAAACATATAGTAAAAGTGATCATGGATTCAGTCCAGTCTGTACACCAGGAAGTGCTCTGCATAATGGGTGCAAAAGTAGAACCTTTCTTCACATATATTAAATGAGACTCCTCTTTGAGACTTTCTTAGTAGAACTTCCTAGGATCAGCACTTATTCCTCCAAGGCAGGGGAAACCATAAAAAGCTTCCAGGACCTTGAACATAAACCCACTGAAGCTCCAGAAAAGGGGTCACCACTTACAGTTGTGTTCAAAATTATTCAATGTAAACCCACTGAAGCTCCAAAAAAGGGGTCACCACTTATTTCTGTAGAAGCTGCCACTATCCCCCAGAATACAAATGAACCTTTAACAATGCATTAGAAGTCAGTAGCCAAACCTTGGTAGGGCTATGGGAATTTAGTTAACCTGAGTTTCTCATAAAAACAGTCTCAAGATCAGAGGGTCTCTTTAAAAGGTTTATTTAAAAAAAAATAAAGTAAAAACAAGATAGAAAATTCACCTGGCAAAGCCAGAGGTTGAATGGTTGCAAAGTAATGAGAAATAGTTACAAAATCCAAGAACAAACTTCTTGGAAAATAGTTAAAATTATGCAAAAAGGAAAGCAAACTCAAATAATTGGCAAAATTTTTATTTTATTTTATTTATTTATTTCGGGTGATCCGGGTAGATCTGGGTGGGAGAAGACGATCTGCCAAATACTGTAAAAAGTTACAGGCAATGAACATCAAGCAAGATAACAACACATTTAGCAAAGCAAGAAAGCTATTCTGTCGTAAGGATTGTACTCCTTCTCATTCCCCAGTTTCATGATGGCTTAACTACTTACAAGTTTCTTTTCTAACACCTTTCTTGGTGTGCATGATTATTAACCCTTTCTTGACTAAGGACTAACCCATGTCCTCCCTCTCTGCGTTGAGGTTGTTATTGTTCATCGGAGTTGTCTCGTCCAGTCAAATCCAACCTGCTCTAACTCCTCAGAGGTTCATAAGCTTTCCTAAAGTTTTTGTTTCCATGCTTCAAAGATTTCAATATGTGAATTCAGGAGGCCGGTTCTGAGATAATGGTAGCCACCTCAATATCATCAACTGTCAATTTTGCTTGCCCTGATTACCATAACACAGAGGTTGAACTACCAGAGCTGTGAGCCTGGAATCTCTTTGATCCTTTGATTACCATTTCTGGTCATGTGCTTTCACATGGGAATGAAAGCCAATTTAAGTTACTATAATTTATGCAAGGAATAAAAATTATATCCAGGTGTAATCTCCTCCAGTTTCTCTACTGGTATGTAGATGACAGAGGCCATCATTATTGCTTGTCCTGTCCTGGACTCTATGGAGAACAGGTGCTTTGGAAGTATGCAGAGGCATTTGAAACTACCTCTAGATGTTGCCGTGAGCTCTTTTGCTCAGTACACCGTATTCCATACATGTCTAGGGGCCTTTACATGTGCAACAGAATTCAATATCCTATCACCAGATTTAAGGAAAATATTTTGTGGTTCTTCTGTACTAATCAGTCTTCTTTCTACTTTTCTGGTTTTGCCTCTACATAGATACATGATTGTTAGATTATTGAGTAATAATGCCATAGAATTACTGTTCCCGGGTAAAATGCAATGAATTTTCTATGTATGTAGGACTTGCACCATTGGTATATACAAGAGAAGAAGAACAAGACAAGAAGTGTTTTTTGTTTGTTCGTTTGTGTCTCTGTGTGACTTTTTGTTTTTTCTTGGTATGACTAGATTTATACCTAAAAAGTAATCAATGGCTAGAATTGGTGTAGGGTTTACTAGTAAGTGGGAAGGTGCTGGGGTACATCTAAGCTGTTTAATCAACTAAGACATGCCCAGGATTTTGGCCAATTAGCAAGAGCTGGCTGTGGCAAGTTGCACAAAATTTAAACCAATACCAACAGGCTTCAGGCCACCAATTGAATTTGAATTTTGCATTGCAGTGGTTGAAGCTGATGCACAGGTTCATGATAATTTGAGACTGAAACAAATTTTCTGAAACAGGGAACATGTGAAAGAAGAGAGGGAAAGGAATTCTTCTCTTCAACAACAAAGCATCTTTTTGTGTTCATTAGAGCTAGAATTGCTTGAAATCACTTTAAAAGTGGGCCCAGAGGAGGAAATACTTCCACTCACAATTTTTCAGAGGGGGAATACGTTTTTGCCATTTTCACTATTATTTTTCACTGTTCCATTACTACCTTCTGCTTTCTTCATGGATTCCTTCTCCCCCACTCCACATATTTCCCTCACTCTGTTCTCAGAGTATTCCTGTTATCAGCAAATACCAAGGCCACATACTGGCAGTCACTCTTTGCTTCAGGAGAATTGATTCCTTTGATCTGTAAGCAGTTTCTCTGCCTTCCTCAGAGACTGTGCGGAATCAGGATCTTTCTACTAATGACACCCCTTTCTAGGCTATTATGGCTGCTTTATGACTCGCAGAAGATCAGGCTTCCAGAATTCCTGTCATCTTGTCAGGACCAGATGAGCACTAGCCATATTTTTTAAAAGGACTACAGATAACCTGGGCTGAGATAAGCAAATCTTTATTTTCCAATCCATGTGGGAAAAAAGAATATTGCATCACAATTACTGTGTTTTTTGTGAATTTCTAGTAGTTAGCTACGTATGAAATCATTACGTGCATTTCCTTGTGAGTCAAAGGTTTTAAAAATCAATTAATCTTAACTGATTAGTTAACTAAGTGTTCCAGGTTAATATTTTACATGGGAATTAAGGCAGGCAGTGCAGTAAGTAAACATTTCTCAGTATGTAAATTTCATCATTTAATGATTTTTTTGAGCACACATCAAACCTATAGCATGAAATTTCAGTCATGCATCTGGTCTGGGGGTTCTTTGACCATGACTACTTCCAGTGTTTACACACAATGCTCCTGTTATCTAAGGAGCTTCCACTGTTTGTTCATTAGAGAGACAGCTTTCTGCATATATTTCTAGAAACACTACATTCTGGTTGTTCCACTCACTAGGAATTCACTAATTAGTAGTGCCAGTAGTGCCAGAATAGCTGAAAGTGTGATAACATGCTCTGGTCTATGTGCAGTTTATTACTGCTATAATTTCATTGTAAAAAAAACCCTACATATTTGATACTATTATTACAGCAGAACTGCAGAATCAGATAGGTGACACTGCTGTGATTACTATGCTGGGAATTTATCCATGCTGGGGAACCGAGACCTCTATACAGTATTCAGCTCTCAATTTAGGTCAGCCACTCCCAGTCTCTGAAACCTTCTTCTAAGGGAAACTGTTGCTCTCATGTCCTAGAGATGGACAAATCATGTGTTGTTGTTTTAATTATTATGGCAGGTTTGGGTAGTAGACCATTTGTTGAGGAACATTCATGTTACTAGCTGGATGATATAGGTTCCTTAACAATTTGTGTTTAAACTATGTCTGTATTGTTTTCAGTTTATGTCATTAATTTAATTCTCTTCTAATATATGATCTTGCTTTCATTCTGCTTTTTATTCACTATTATTCTGTACTGCCTTAAATCCCATTTATGAAAGAAAGGCAGTATATACATTGATAAAGAAGTGAATGAATCACAACATTTCAAACTTCCTTGTGTTTACAAAAGACATGAATTTTCAGAAAATGGTTGAATACTGCCTTTTTACCTGTGCTTGTCAAAATTTGATCATAATTGAGAGTTGTGATTCAGTATTATTTATGTAAATATGAATTATAATGTTCTGGTATTTTGTATGAAGAAAAATACATCCTGTCAGGTGTTTGGCAAATGGCAAAGATGATTTAGATAAATGTTTTTTAGCAATGTTATACTTTCTATCTGAATGAGCAACTACAAGATGCAGCAGTACTAACAATAACAAATTCCATGTCATTCCTGTTAATATCTCCCTTGAGGCCGGAAACCCAGTCATGGACTTAAAAGGCATTTGGATAATGCTCCTTGAAGTAATAAGGACAGTGTAAATCCTGCCTGTTTCCACCTTCAGCTCAAGTCCTAAGTTACTTCATGGTCCATTTGACTTTTGGTTTGGGTTACTTCAGCTCCAAGAACCACGGCTTCCAAAATGATTGGTCCTAAAATTCTTTTTAACCCTTTAGAAGTGTTGTTGTTTTTAATGGAAAGGAACACTTTGTTGTAATGTCACATTAGAAATCGGGACATCCCAAAAACAGATCTTCCGTTTTTACCTTGACAGAAATGTGACGCTTTTAAAAAGCACGCAGATATGTTGTCGATTTCTTTGCTTATCCAAATGGAGGCTGTTTACCTTACCCAGCTGTAGAACATAGCAAGATAGTGGAAGGTTTATTTCAGTGCAGAACAACCATTTCTCTTTGGCGGCTTTGGAGGTAGCCAGAAAAGGTGCCTCTTTCTGGAATTAAAATGTGTCTGCCTTTGGCTTCAGAAAGAAAGGGTCTGACAGTTGCTTTCTCTGTAAAACAGTTTCAGTAGCGGGAAATTATTTTAAAGCTGTCTTGCACAACAAACATGTTCGAGGAGTAGGGGAAATCCAATGACTAATCAGCTGCCAATGATTTGAGTGTATATTTTGAGGCAAACGCTTAGTGACCTTCCAAAAGCTATATCATTAGAAGACTTGTGCCCATCTTGCAAACTCAAGGCTTGCAAACTCAGTGTGGCTTCCATTATTGAGTCAGTCCCACTCATGTTTGGTCTTCCTCTTTTCTTAGTGCCTTTCACTTTTTTTTAACATTACTATCTCTTCCAGCGAGTCTTGCTTTCTCATGATGTATCCAGTGTATTATAGCTTCCAATTAGTCATTTTTGCTTTTAGAGATCATTCAGATTTGATTTGATCTAGGCCCCACTTGTTTCTCTTTCTGGCAGACCATGACATTTATAAAACTCCAACACCACTTTTCAAATGGATCAGGGGTTTTTTCACTGCCAGATTTTTTTTATTTCCTAATCTTTAGATCTGCAGTATCTA